TGGGCGACAGAGTGAGACTTCCAACTCACAAAAAAAAAAAAAAAAACAATAAGAGTTAACACGTGTCACGTCAGGAACCCTCCTCAGCCCCTTGTGTATCTTAAGTCACCCAAGTGGAGAAGGGTTTCATTTGGAGACTCAGAAATTCCACTCTAAGCACGGTTCACTCCATGTATGGGACTTTGTGGGGTCCTGAGGCAGGCGTGGCCGGCTTTAGCTGGTGGGAGCCCCCAAATCCGTAAGTCCAGGACGTGCTCTACCCTTGAGGGACCGCAGAGGGCTTAGAGACAGACGTGGCCGGGTTTTCTTCCCAGCCACGTCCCTCTCCTGCCGATACTTGGTGTGGGGGCGTGGAAAGCAGGTCAGCCGCGTGGCGGTGAGCATGGCCCGTGGGGTCCATGTGGACCACGGTTCCTCGTCAGGCACTGTCACCCATCCGTGAGGTCTCCTCGGACAAGCTGGGCAAATTCTCTGAGCCTGGCTTTCTCATCCACCGCGTGGGGACACGTGCCGCGGGACAGGACAGACAGACGCATAGGCTCTAAAATCTGACAGTGTGAGTTCGAATCCAGGCTCCGCTATTGACCAGCTGTGGGACCCCGGAGGGGCGACTCGGCGTCTGAGAGCTCAATTTTCTGACCAGCTGACTGGGGGTGACAACGGCTGCTGCCTCACAGGGCTGCTGGGAAGATGACATGAGAAAAATACCTAAAAGTGAAACACTTAGAATAGTGCCTGGAGTCTGGGCGTGGTGGCTCATATCTGTAATGCCAGCACTTTGGGAGGCTGAGGCAGGAGGATCACTTGAGCCCAGGACTCTGAGGCTAGCCTGGACAATGTCGTGAGACCCTGGCTCTACAAAAAAAATCAAAAACTTAGCTGGGCATGGTGGCATGCCCAGCTACTCAGGAAACTGAGATGGGAGTATCGCCTGAGCCCAGGAGTTTGAGGCTACAGTGAGCCATGATCATGCCACTGTACTCCAGCCTGGGCGATAGAGTGAGACCCCAGCTCAAAATAGTAACAACAATGAGGTTGTTGATAAAACGAACCACCCCCTTCCGCCGAGGCTTTCCTCTCTGTCAGGCACCGTGCCCTCCTCATGACCCCACGAGAGGCATGTGATTCACTCCAAGTTTTTATTTTTATGTTTATTTTTTGAGTTGGAGTCTCACTGTCACCCAGACTGGAGTGCAGCGGCCGCTCCCGGCCACCACAGCCTCGACCGCTGGGCTCCGGCGATCCTTCCGCCTCAGCCTTCCGAGTAGCTGGAACTACAGGTGCGCGCTACCACACCCGGCTAATAATTTTTTTTTGATTTACGGTAGAGATGAGGTCTCACCAAGTTGCCCAGGCGGGTCTCGAACCCGCGGGCTCAGGCCATCCACTCACCTCAGCCTCCCAAAGGCGCGGGATGACAGGCTGAGTCACCGAGCCCGGCTCACTCCAAGTTTTTTAAGTCCGTGGGTCTAAGTAACTCACACCGAGTGGCTGGACCAGGATTTAGACTCAGGCCCCTCTTCCTTTAATCTGGCAGTCAGCAGACTTGTCCTCTAAAGCTATAGCTGGCGAACATGTTGAGCTCTGCAGGCCAGGCAGTCTCTGTGGCAAGCTCTCGGCTCTGCCATCGTCACATGAGAGCCGCCGTGGACAACACGGACACAAACGGGTGTGGCCGTGTGTCCGTGAAGCTTTATCATCCGAAACAGTGGCGGCTGGCTTGGCCCGGAGCCGTGGCTCGCCACTTCCTGGTTCACACTCCGTGCTGTTCATTTCAGGTCCCTGTGCATGGCAGCCTGGACGCCCCTGGACCTCCAGCCCTCCAACCAGAGCCAGCTGGCAGCTCTCATCAACGCCACGGCCTGTGACCATGCCCAGGACGCCTGGGACCTACTGCACAGAGTGCTCCCGACGGGTATCATCGCCATCTGCTCCTTCGGCCTCCTGGGCAACCTTTCCGTCCTGTCCGTCTTCCTCCTGACCCGGCGGCCGCTGACCGTGGCGGAAATCTATCTGGCCAACCTGGCGGCCTCCGACCTGGTGTTCGTCCTGGGTCTGCCCTTCTGGGCGGAGAACGTCCGGAACCAGTTCGACTGGCCTTTCGGGGGTCTCCTCTGCCGCGTGGTCAATGGGGTCATCAAGGCCAATCTGTTCGTCAGCATCTTCCTGGTGGTGGCCATCAGCCAGGACCGCTACCGCGTGCTGGTGCACCCCATGGCCAGCAGGCGACGGCGGCGGCGCAGGCAGGCCCAGGTCACCTGCGGGCTCATCTGGGTGGCGGGAGGCCTCCTGAGCGCCCCCACGTTCCTGCTGCGCTCCATCCAAGCCGTCCCGGACCTGAACGTCTCCGCCTGCGTCCTGCAGTTCCCCCACGAGGCCTGGCCCTTCGCGAGGGTCGTGGAGCTGAACGTGCTGGGCTTCCTCCTGCCGCTGGCCGCCATCGTCTTCTTCAACGGCCACATCCTGGCCTCCCTGCGGGGGCGGGAGGAGGTCAGCCGGGCCAGGTGCGGCGGCCCCCGGAACGGCAAGGCCACGGCGCTGATCCTCGCGCTCGTGGCCTGCTTCCTGGCCTGCTGGGCCCCCTACCATTTCTTTGCCTTCCTGGAGTTCCTGTTCCAGGTGCGAGCCGTCCGCGGCTGCTTCTGGGAGGAGTTCATCGACCTGGGTCTGCAGCTGGCCAACTTCTTTGCTTTCCTCAACAGCTGCCTGAACCCCGTGATCTATGTCTTTGTGGGCCGGCTGTTCAGGTCCAAGGTCCGGGAACTTTACAAACGATGCACCCCCAGGAGTCTCGTCCCGATGTCTTCGTCCCACAGGAAAGAAATCCTCCAACTTTTCTGGTGGAACTGAAACACCCGCAAACAGAGAAGCTTGGCTTTCTTATCAATTCTTCTTTTTCTGAGTGGGGGTCTCACTCTGTCGCCCAGGCTCACGGCCACCGCAGCCTCGATCTGCTGGGCTCCGGCGATCCTTCCGCCTCAGCCTCCCAAGGAGCTGGAACTACAGGCGTGCGCCACCAGGCCCAGCTAAGTTTTGGATTTATTGTAGAGGTCTCACCAAGTTGCCCAGGCTGGTCTTGAACCCCCGGGCTCAGACAATCCTCTCGCCTCCGCCTCCCAAAGTGCTGGGTGACAGATGAGAGCCACCATGCCCGGCTTGATTATTTTTGACATAATAAATACTATCGTGGTCCATGGAGTAATGACCCCCAGAGGTCAGGAGGGTCCGGGTCCCTGGAACTTGTAACTGTTACTTTCTATGGCAAAGGGAACTTCACAGACGCAGCAAAGCTCAGGGTCTTGAGATGGGGAGATATTCTTTTTTTTTTTGAGTGGGAGTCTCACTCTGTCGCCCAGACTGGAGTGCAGTGGCTGCTCCAGGCCACCGCAGCCTCGACCCGCTGGGCTCCGGCGATCCTTCCGCCTCAGCCTTCCAAGGAGCTGGAACTACAGGCGCGCGCTACCACGCCCGGCTAATTTTTGATTGATTGTAGAGACGAGGTCTCGTCAAGTTGCCCAGGTGGGTCTCGAACCCGCGGGCTCAGACAATCCTCTCACCTCGGCCTCCCAAAGTGCTGGGGTGACAGGCTGAGCCACCGAGCCCGGCTGGGAAGATATTCTTGAATGGCCCAGGTGGGTCCAAGGTCATCACAAGGCCCTTACAAGAGGGAGTCAGGAGGGCCAGAGTCAGAGGCGACATGACCACGGACGCAGAGGCCAGAACGGTGCAAAGGCAGGGCCACAGGCCGAGGAATGCTGGCACCCTCTCGGGCGGGAGAAAATGGAAAAACAAAAGGGAACTCTCCTCTAGAGCCTGCAGCCCTGCCTGAGCCTCGACTTGGCCCAGGAATGCCGGCTTTGGCCGCCAGAGCCATACGAGAATAAATCTGTGTTGTTTTAAACGACTTAGTTTGTGATTATTTGTCACTGTCATAACAGGACGCTTGGGCAAGTGTCCAGTAGGGGCCTCTTGCTATGTTTCCATTCGTCCAAAGTCTTCATCCTCGCCAGGTGGGTGGGGGCTCACACCTGTCATCCCAGCACTTTGGGAGACCGAGGCGAGAGGCCTGCCTGAGCCCAGGGGTTCAAGACCAGCCTGAGCAACTTGGCGAGACCTTGTCTCTACAAGTAATCAAATAATTAAAGCCGGGCGTGGTGGCACGCGCCTGTGGTTCCAGCTTCTCGGAAGGCTGAGGCGGAAGGATCGCCGGAGCCCAGCAGGTCGAGGCAGCGGTGGCCGGGAGCGGCTACTGCCCTCCAGTCAGGGCGACAGAGTGAGACTCCAACCCAATAAATGAATAAATAAATAAATAGACACCCAAAAATCAAATTCTAAAAAAAAAAAAAGGGTACATATACAGGATGGAATATCATGCAGCCATAAAAAAGGATGAAATTAGGGACTTTGCAGCAACTTGGATGGATTTAGAGTCCATCACACTCAGTGATCTATCACAGAAACAAAGAACGGAGGACCACATGGTCTCACGCATAAGCAGACCCTGAACATTTACCATAATGCCATAAGAAAGAGATTGGCAGTAGAGGGAAACTGCCCCGTGGCGGGGGACACATAACATCAATAAGGGTACTTGATCTCAAGCCGGACAAAATGGGGACCAAAGGGAGATCTCAACTTTACCTGTACGATGACCACTTGTATACCTAATCCTGAACTGTACCCCACATCTTTCAAATAAGATTTTTTTTAAAAAAAGAATGCTTCTCGGTGGCTCAGCCTGTAATCCCATGCTTTGGGAGGCCGAGGTGAGTGGATCGTCTGAGCCCGCGAGTTCGAGACCCGCCTGGGCAACTTGGCGAGACCTCATCTCTACCATAAATCAAAAAATCAGCCGGGCGTGGTAGCG